AGTATATAGGAAATCGTTAATAAGAGTAGGAAAATATTTTAGTTGCTTATAGCACTTTTAGGCAAAACCCCTTTGGTTTGATGATAATGATGATTAGCTTGGCATCTTAGTCATTAGAGTTAGCTTAACAATTTGATAGATGTATTTTTATTTTAAGAGTTGCTGTTGTTGTATTATTAAGTGTTGCATCATCATTTCATGCATGTAGATAAAATGAGTTGGTAGAGTTTGTGACCGGGCATGGGATATGGTATGAGTATTGGTGGAAGTGATTGAAGAGTACGAGGAGGAGATTCTCAGGGCACAGGAGGGAGCCTTGAGCTACCCAATCTGTGACTTTGTTGACACCCGCCTTTCTAGGCAAGCTAGGTGCATAACCTCTATTTTGAATAATCCCTGAGTATATATATATATATATATATATATATATATATATATATATATATATATATATATATATATATATATGGATGTGTGTGTGTGTGTGTGTGTGTGTGTGTGTGTGTGTGTGTGATGTGCATTTACGTTACAGGCATTTTATGGAAACCACCTATATAGATATACCTACCTATGAGTCCTACTAGTTTCAGGGTACCTAGCTAGGCACATTGATTCGCGAATCGTCGGGCAATCCGGTACGGCTTGTCTATTATCTAGCATCGTAGTAAGAACTGGAAGATGAATAGTGTGAAATGGATCTGTTTGTTCAACTCTTGCTTGAAAGTAGAACATGTGCTAGCATAGAATGGATAGATAATGAACTAATCATGACTGCTAGTAATAAACATACATAAAGATTCACTACTAGTATTGCTTTTCGCAAAAGACAACCCAGCAAACCAAAAAATCTATCATACCCTTTGGAGTCAGGAAATTATTCCCACTAGTCGGGTAAGTCTTGCGAGTATATTATGTACTCATGGTTTATTTACCCCTGTTGCAGGTGTAGTTTGAAGATTTGCTGTTGTGTGGAGGATTCTTCTGATGGGCACAGATGGATCCTTGTATTCTACCGCTAGATGTTATTTTATTCCGTTGTTCAAATTCCGCACTCTGAACTCTGGTTTTGTAATAATGTATTTCTAAGAACTCTGGTTGTATGAAATGGATTAAGTATTGTAACTCGTTCTCATTATTGGATCCTAGAGGTAAAAACGTGTATTATTCGAGTTCTCTCTTGGGGTGTGCTCAACGGAACTACCCGAAGTAGCTCGCTTTGGGGCGCTTAGCGTCTGGTGGTAGACGAGCGCCTCCGAAGGTGTGTTATTTAGGACGGTCCTACCACATTTATTTTAGTATTATTGCTTTGCTTTACTTAAGTACTTGTTCATCATTAGTGAGCTTAGGTGCTTATTGTTTGGCATTAGTAGCATAGGTTATCTTATAATTAGTAGCTATTCATTAGTATTGGATTTCACCATTTGGTTAGGGTGCTTTGATCTTATTTCATCGGAACTTGGATCGAAGTAGCAAGTTTCTTGATTAAGCGTGGTGCTTAGGCTATAGATTATCTATAGATATGACCAGGCCTCCGGATAGATTGTGGTAGGTGGCAAATGGTGTCAGCCTTGTCCATCCTCTGTATTCCACCACGATAGGTCTAGTTATTAAATCGTAGGGCTTATGACAGATCTTGTCTATTTAACTCTCCTAGTTGGTAGGCGGGTTGTGCCCCGAAGTACTAGCGTATTTCTCCTAGTTATTAGTTTACCCTTAGTTACTTGAAAGATAAATCGCTCGCTCTCCCACCTAACTATCTCTAGTGTAGCTTATTTAGTAGTTTAGTTTAGGTAGTTCACATTCATCTTCCACTATCGTTCATGTACCTAGGATACACTTAAGGTTTTTCCTTAGCAATCCTAACCTAAATATAAATTATAGCCTTCGCATTTTCGTGAGAAAAATATAAATTCGACACTCGGTACTCACCGAGCGAAGTGCTACACGATAGTTCTGTGCGCTTATGGAATTCCTCCAATAGTTGTTAAGAAGTATCACTTGCTCCATCACTTAGATTGGACCACTTTATCTAACTCACACACTTAGATTAAAGGTTAGTCCTAAATTTCATCAATTATACAAAACTAAACTAAGGCTTTCAAGTATTATTGTTCTAAACACAACGTTCTGATACTTATAATTTTTAAGATTCTAGCTCGTGCAGGAACACCGGTTCATACTAGTATAAGCAAAAGTACAATAGACCTCGTGCACTATATAGGCGTTTAAAACCGAGGCTACATATAGTCCCTAATTTATCCACAACACCAGAAATACAGCACTAGTGAGTAAAAACGGTGATATGCAACAAATTGATATTTGGCTCTCAAGTTAAAGTAAACATCATATAAGGTTCATATGAAATTGAACTTAAATCCATTTCAAGGTTCCATTTTAAATGCAAAGAGAAATAGTTAAAATTTGTACATCTACTACTATATTCGGACCTATCACAAGCGGTTCGTGAAGCCCATCACAAACGCTTTTTGGTCCCGGCAGTAAGCTATCGTTGGTGATTATATTCTCATCACAGGCGGTTTGCAACCGATGGTGATACTAGCTTATCACAGTCGATTCGTATTACCAGCCGTGCGGTGATTTGAATTTTCAAAAATCTCAAAAACGGGCTAAAAATAGCAAAAAATTTTATTTCAATCCTAGGCTAGCTCCATGCTATTTTTTAGGTATGTGGTGGTGGTAGGATTGGAACCTAAGACATTTGTCCTTAGCTCCTCTAACCACTCCATCCCTAAGTCACATGTGTCTATATAGTATATACATTCCTTAGTATTCATTTTTCAGAATTTAAAATAAATATTTAGGACCCTAAACAGCTTTAAATGAAAAAGTTATAAACTACAAATTTGTTGTTCTAATCGAGATCTACAACTTTGATTTTGATTGTTTTGCCATCCGAGGTCATTTGATAAATTTGAATTTCAAAACAGCAAAACTTTAGCCAAACTTTTTGGACCTCAAATGATTTCAAATAAAAAACTCATCAACTACAAAGTTGTTGTTCTCGATCGAGATCTACAACTTTGGTTTTGGTCGATTTTCTATCCGATGTTGTTTAAAAATTTAGTTTTTTAAAATTTAAAACTTCATATACAAATTTGAGATTATAAATGATTTCTAATAAAATAGTTGTCAACTACAAAATTGTATATCTCATCAATATCTATAACTTTGGTTTTGGTCGTTTTTCCATCTAGGGTCGTTTGTACAATTCGAAAAAAATGAATTTCAAAATTTGAGCGCTTCAAACAGAATTCTGGGACCGTAAATGGTCTTAAATGAAAAAGTTATCAACTACAAAGTTGTCGATTGCGTTGAGATCTACAACTTTGATATAAATTTTGTTTTCATCTAACTTTATTTGAAAAAGTTATGAGTTTATTTATACTGCTGCATGGTTATCACCGTCGTATCATACAACGAGCTGGCGGTAAAAATGTCTTCACCGCTGGTTCATTTGGCGAGGCGGCTGGTGGTGTAAACCGGCTGTGATGATGGACTATCACCGTCGGTTGGTAAGACGAAGTGACGGTGATAGTTATTGCCCCGGATGTTCTTACGAACCGGCGGTGATACTCTCATCACCAACGGTTCATATTACGAACCATTGGTGATAGCTGTTACCAACGTTTTTAATGATACCGCCGGTGATAGATTAGTTGGTGATAGATCAATTTGTGATGGTTTCATTCACAGAGGCTTGAACCTATATATAGCAATATAAATTTACTACTCAAGTGAGTATATATAATTCAACTGTGGGGTATGGACAAGCTACAGTTAGATGTCGCTGTGGCTACCGTCCCAATCGGCTAGGATCACGTGTGTAGAGTAGCAGTTTATATATAGTTGGTTGATTTGACACTAAATGTAATACACTCCCTCATTGTCAAAATAACTGATGTTTTGAGTTTGTTCTAAGTTAAACCATTCACGTTAAACCAAATTTATATAAAAAATACCAATGTCTATCATCACAAAATATATTTTCATGTTATAACTATTTAGTGTGATAAATATTAATATTACAAAAAAATGGCTTTGCTTATGGCTCTGGCTTCGCAGAGCATGGGCGGAGGAGCTCCGCAGACGAGGCCTTACTAGAGTTGGGTATTTCTAGTTCTAGAGGTTGTTAGATGTGTAGCTGGAGACATATAAGAGGCCTGAGACAAATTGTTTGTATCAAAGTTATGACCAAATATAATAACTAAACCACTTTAATATATTCTATTATTATAGTAGTATAAATCTGTAGCTTAGATCTCTTAGAGTAGCTTCAACATGCTTGCTAAAATACGTTGTAGACCCGGTGCCAAGCAAGAACGAAGCAGCAAGCACCTGTTGCCTATCCGAGCACCCGGTGCTAAGAATGAAAAAAAGGAGATACGTCAGAGTCAGAGTTGAGAAAACACCATGCGACAGTTGAGAAAGGTCTAGGACGAACAAAATTTTATCTGATGTGAGTCACATCTTAGTACGTGCTTTAAGCTGTTTATACATTGAAAACTCTTTTTATTTTACTGTATGTAAGAAAGCACCAGTTGAGATGCCATATGTTTGCAACTTGCTCGTAAATATACGTTGGAGATGCCCTTAGCTAAAGGCTAAAACGAGGGCAGCCGGACTCCCGGAGACGTCAGGGTGACGCCATGATAGCGTCTGCCGCCTTAACTACTTTATTAGCTTTTTGTTGAAAAAATAATGTGGCAAATCAAATCAAACTATGGAAGCCGCCGACGGTTAACAACTCTTAACTCAGAGAGCAGAGATGGCACGGCAGTCAGCCATCGACCATCGTCATCGTGGTCCAAGTCAAACCATCCATCCCTCGTGCCGTCCTGCGGCTGCGGCTGCTTCCTGCCGACGGCGACGCTGGCGGAGGAGATCAAGAAGCAGGCGCGTGGCGGAGACGCTGTTCCACACAAGGAGGTGCAAGGGAAGATGGGGCGCAGCGCGGCGCGCGCGAGGACCACGCGGTCATCATGACCACCACCCCACGCGACCTCACGGACGCCGACGGCGTGCTGCTGGACGCTTTCCGAGGAAGGTTCGGTATGATGGCGGCGCAGATGAAGGCATTCCTGGACGCCACGGGCGGGCTGACCGGGCGGAGCCAGGCGCTGGCGGGGAAGCGCCGCGGGCGTGTTCCTCTCCACAGGCACGCAGGGCGGCGGGCAGGAGACCACCGCGCTCACCGCCGTCACGCAGCTCACGCACCACGGCATGCTCTTCGTGCCTCTGGGGTATACCTTTGGCGCCGGCATGTTCGGCGTCCACGAGGTCAGGGGTGGCAGCCCCTACGGAGCGGGCACCTTCGCCGGCGCCGATGGCAGCAGGACGCCCTCCCAGGCAGAGCTCGCCATAGCCAGACACCAGGGCACCTACTTTGCCGGCATCGCCAAGAAGTTCAAGGCCGGAGCCACGGCCCTCGCCGCCGAAGCCTCAGCGTCAGCTTGATGATACATCATTCGTCATGCCTACTCAGCCTGTCTTGATTTAATAAATAATTCCCTACTTTAGTATTGATTCATGTTTATTGTGTTGTATTTGCGACTGAATAATACAGTACTACGTACGTACATGCTTGCTTTGCTCCTAAACATGATGTCATAAGTGGCTCCAAAGACCAGAGGTCAAAAAATTCGAAGGGAGTTTGTGTTATCTGTGTCTATATCTCTATTTTTACTTTCTACATCTAAAAAGACTTCATCTATCTGGTGATACCAAATCTCGATCCTCGCTCATATGTAACCATGTTCGATACAAATAATCCTCCTCTCAGAGCTCACACGTCCTTGTCCAACCTGGTTCCAATACGAAGACCGAATCCACGTGTCCGCATCCGATACAAAGTTCTCCGAGCTCACGTGTCTACGTGCACTTGCCTCGCCTGTTGCGCCCACCCCGCATGCTAATAAGTCTGATCACATACAAAGCGGATCCACGGTCCACGCCCGATACAAAGTTTCTCGAGCTCACGGTTCACGTGGCACTTGCCTCGCATGCCGCGCCCCACATGGTGTTGCGCGATCGCATGCAAGCCAGCTTTGTCCCTCGGTACACGCAACACCGTGCTGCGTCGCTTTGCGCTTTGTGCTTTCGTGTTTGCTGCGTGCTCATGCAGGTAGGTGGGGACCACCCATGCCCGTGCCCCGCATGTTGCTGCGCCACTCCCTTTGCTTTTGTGCTGCGCGCTCGTGGATGCGCATGCAGGTGGGACCAGATCTACTTTTGTAATATCCAGATGGAACACATGCAACGTTCAGATGAAACATATGAAACATACATCTGAAACACATGAAACATACTGGCATACTGCGTATGCTAATGAAAATACTTGCAACATGAAGCATTTGTTGCAACATGCGTCTAAAATAGGTGAAACATTTGAAACATACTCTTGAAACATATGTGTATAGCCACGGCAACATATGTAATATCCAGATAAAACACTTGCAATGAAACAGATGAAACATCTGAAACATACACTTGCAACATACGTGTAAAGCCATTACAACATATGCAACATGCTAATAAAACACTTACAACATACGTGTGAAACAAATGAAATATTTGAAACATACATTTGCAACGTATGTGTATATATCCAATGCAACATATTCAATATCCAGATAAAACATCTGCAACATCTAGATGAAAACATACATCTAAAACGCATAAAACATATGAAGCTCGATGTCATGGAGTGGCAAAAAAAATTGGGCCAGCACTCAGCTGTCAATGGTCAACCGTCACGGAAGCAGCAAATGACGCATGCAGATATGGCCCCGCGCTCCTCTCACAAACAGGCAAGTGCCCTGGTCGGCCGAGCAACTAGCTAAGCCGGTCGACCAAAGCAGCAACGCGGTAGACAACATGCGGCAAGGCAGCTTGGCCTGGGCGTAGACAACACAGAGAGAGAAAAGAGCAGGATGGCAAACAGCAGCAGCAGTTCTAGGCGCTAGACAGCAGAGGACATGCGCGACAAGGAGGCCCGCGACCCTGGGCGTGTGTGGCTAGGGACCTGGCCAGCTTGTCTAGACAGTCGTGGATGCAGCAGGGAGCCAGTCCTCTCTCTATGTTCACGCGTAGTCCTCTCTCTGTGTTCACGCGCATGCACCTCGAACGAGAGGTCACATAGGCTCCCATGGGCTGCCACACAGAAAAAGGACGGTGTGGGCCTGCCTGACTGTAACTGTGCGCCTCTCTAGTATACATGAAAAGACTATAATATCATCGTCTATGGTCTACCCAATGATACCAATTTTTGATCCCTGCTCAAGCGTCGGTGTCCAATATGAATCCTCCTGCATTCAGAGCACACACGTCCATGTCCTACTCGGTTTCGATACGAAGACAGCATCCACATGTCCGCGTCCGATACAAAATCCTCAGAGCTCATGCTTCCGTGTCCAATTACAGAGATTCAATCCAACAAAATTATGACCCTAGTGCAACGCATGGATATATATCTAGTCCACTAAAACAAAAAAATCTTATGCGCACGTCATACCAATAACTACTCCTATATTGTAGTTTTTATGTTAATTTTATTTGAGCCCTACTAGAATTAAGGTTTTAATTAAACAATCAATTCACTCCCCTTTAGATGCTTACGGGGATATTTCACATATATATTTTTGATGGGACCACGGGAACAAACGGTCATCACATATAATATATTAATCACAGATGCCGAAGCGAGTTTAGTACACCATTATCTGTGGGAGTTTTATGGACATGTTTCCAAGACTCTCGGGTGTTGAAAACAATGTAACAAGTTTTATCCCTATGAAACTTATTTTATCTCATAAAACCTTTTTTCATCTTTCTCTTCATTTAAATACGCCATATCAGCTTAGTTAATGTCTATGAAACTCCTATTGACCCTGCCTCTAGGCATTTCAATTCTTTTAATTTGATATCATAAGTATTGATATTGGCCCCGTTCGCTGGTCTGAAACTTGGCTGAAACTGGCTGGTTTTGTGAGAGAGGAACACTGTAGCGGCTGGTTGATGAACAGTGGCTTGTGAGGGGGATCAGCCGGTTTTACCAGACCAGCGAACGCACCCATTTTGTTATCTATAATTAGTCATCACTCAAGATACTTTAGCTTGGTATTGTGCTAGAATTATATTCTTTTCTAGATGGAGGGCGTAATAAATACTTAATCCGTCTCAGATTATAAGACGTTTTGACTTTTCTAGATGCATTCCTTTTACTATGTATCTAGACATAGTGTATATCTATGTGCACAGCAAATGCAACGTATTTAGAAAAGCCACGATATCTTATAATTTGGAATGGAGGGAGTACATATTGAAGACATACAAAGTTATATACTTCATCCATCCCATTGAAAGTGTCATTTTTTACTTTTAGACTTCTTATTTGACTGTTCATCTTATTCAAGTTTTTATGCAAATAATAAAATAAATAAATCATTATTAAAGTATCTCTAATGGTAAAATAAGTCATAACAAAATAAATAGTATTTATACAAAAAATATGAATAAGACAAACGGTCAAACAAGAAGTCTAAAAGTAAAAAACGACACTTTCAATGAGACGGAGGGAGTAGATAGGTACAAAAGTGAAATAATTGATAGTTTATCACAATCGGACATTGAGTTTGAGTGTGTGGGTGTGTGTATGGGATTTTTATGTTAGAAATTAAATTGAGAGAGAGAAAGAAAATATAATTAATTTGGATTATTATAAAGTATTGAAAGGTCCAAATATGATTAGAGAGGAAAAATAGCCTATATAAAAACTCTACAAGAACATTAGAGTAATTTGTTAGTATGCTAAACGGCGAAATGCAATTTTGTTCTAGCTCTACAAGGGTTTCAAGCCATCTATACAAACAATTCTAGTTGCTATGATCACTAGGGACACAACAAAAGCTAAGTCACTACTCACTAAGAGCTCTTAACAAGGCTACACTAAAGAGCTCCACTAGATGAAACTAAACTAGCAAGCAAGCTCTCAAAACTAGCTACACTAAAGAGCTTGCTACACAACTAATCAAAGTAAGTGCAAGGGAGTGAGAAGAAAGGTTATACCGTCGTGTAGAGGAATAAACCAATCACAATATGAATGCCAAATCAATTACCGAGATAATTCCAATCACAATGGACACCAAGATTTTTCTCCCGAGGTTCACGTGCTTGCCGGCATGCTAGTCCCCGTTGTGTCGACCAACACTTAGTGGTTCGGTGGCTAATAGGTGTTTCACAAACCTAGTCCAACATATGGACACTGCAAGAACCTACCCACAAGTGAGGTAGCTCAATAACACAAGCAATTTACTAGAGTTACCTTTCGGTGCTCCGCCCATGAAGGTACAAGACCCCTCACAATCATCGGGAGATGGACACGAACAATCACCAACTCATGCCAATGCTCCTCTGCTGCTCCAAGCTATCTAGGTGGTGGCAACCATCAAGAGTAACAAGAAACCCACAGCCACAACGATCCTCAAGTGCCACTAGATGCAATCACTCAAGCAAATACACTTAGAATCACTCCCAATCTCACTAAGATGATGAATCAATGATATGCAAATGAGTGGGAGGTGTTTGCTTAGACTCACAAGGATGTTAAGTATGTCAAAGTGCCAAGTGAGTGAGCCCCAAGCCAACCAAACCCTTTAAATAGACGGCCTCATGAAATAGAGCCATTGGTCAGCCGTGAGCTGACCAGACTTGCATGACCGGACACAGGCCAGCATCCGGTCACTCGATGACTGTTGTTGACGGTCACTAACACTCGTTTTGACCATCAACATTTCACCCAAAAGTATAATAAAGTGAGGTAAATCATCATCACATGTGTAGAATTTTGTTTATAATTCACCTAGTTCCACTTGTGCTTGTAGAATTATTTGTATATAGGAAATTTAAGCAAAAATAAGCAAAAGGGTGACAAATATGGACACATGAAGACAAGTGGACATGGCAGGAGGCCTTGGGCCCACTTGGGCCCGCTGCTCGGCCTCACTTGGACGCCACCCGCCCCCGCCCCCCCAAGTGGCCCTACCATGTCACCAATCCGTGGAAGCTCCTCCAGAAGCAATGACAAGCGTCCATTTTAAGTCAGTTTGATCAATGGCCAAGATTTGATGACGGTGGATCCATGGGTCCATTGTCATACACTTGGGAGCCTCCAACCGCCTTACCAACCGACCTACTACCCGAATTTTGTCATGTCATGTCCAAGAAACCGCCTTTGGGAGCCAACCAGCACCGTAGGATGCAAATGCGGTGCATCCTAGGGCCTGCCGGCGCCCCCTTGCTATCGCCCGGTGCCTTAGGTGCTCCACCGATGCCCCTGCTGCCTACAAGTATCCCCCTCACTCTACACTATAAATATGGGGTGTGGAGCTCGTGGAGAAGTGCCCCATTCAATTCCAAGCTCTCCAAGCTTCTCTTAGCTTTCTAGCTTAGCATTAGCT